GGTGGGGGCTGGTGAACGGTATGGTCAATGTTTGTAAACACTGTGACATTTTGACTTTATTTGATCATTTCAGTTAAAAACTAACGTTCATATTTCATATTACTGTTTTGCCTGGCTGGACCTGTAATTTACAGGAAAGGAGTGCACGCTACTAAAGAGACACGCTACCATGGAAACCAAACAATGGTGTGTTGCTGTATTGAAGTCCGAGTGGAAACAGTCATATTTGGAGCGTTATGTTAGAATGAAACAGCGAGGGTCGTGACTCACAAAAAAAAAGTGTTACTTCACTAACTGTAAGCTGTCACTCAGAGTAACCTACAGTTAACTTAACTGTTGGAAAAGAAAGATCAGAGTTAGGAGTGTGAACACACAGCTGAGAGCTGCCGTTTCATTCTGACTGTTTAAAAAACGGTAACAACGGACTATTTTTCCTTAGCGGATGCATGTAAATTTAAATCAATACATAGAACTATGTTTTAAATCAATAAAAATATTTTCTAAATCCATAAAAGCATTTTAATTAATATTGGGAGTCATGTCGTTACTTTGTTGAGAATGTGGCCATGTAATAAGCGGGATAATTTGCAGCGACTTGGTCATTATGGGGAAAAATAACACCCAGGGATCAAGATCCCTCCGCGACGCGGAGGGATCAGTAATCTTTAGTGAATTACTGAGTTTAGGCACGTTAATAACATTTTAATGAAGTTGAATACAGTATATTCATATTTGTCAGTGATTTCATGTCAATTCGGCGAACATAAACGATTAAATTAGGATTAAAAATCGAGAGCCGGCTGCTGTTCGTTACGGTAACCCAACTAGGACACTTGACACAGTGGCTTTTGGCAAAGCACACAAAGAAAACAAAAAAAAACCGAGAGAGATGAGTTATTGTTATTACAACGTGACTTCACTATTATTTAACAACTATTTTTATTGGTTCTTTTATTTGGGGTTAAGTACATTGTCAGAATAAGTGAGAAATGGATTTAACTTCTGTTAGACAGCTATCATACTGAATAAATATTTATGCAAAAATGTATGGCATTAATAATGTATATCTAATTACATTTAAAAATGTATGGCATTAATAATGTATATCTAATTACATTAACTGTGAATGTCTTTCATTTTATTTAAAATGAAATAAAATTACATAAAACATTTTCCATAAAAAAGTTGATTCAAGAACAAATCAGTACTTTTCTTATATGACTATTATTGCTAAATTTGAAAGGTCTTTACCAGCTTTGGAATTATATATATATATATATATATATATATATATATATATATATATATAGCACCTTCTTGCCATCCCATCTCTACTGACATATGGATCTTAACAAAGATCCGCTATACATTAGTACCAGATATACTGTACACGGACATTTTAGTGAACCAGACCAGCTGTTTCCGCCGGGTCTTCGCTTCCCGGGCATCACGTTGTTTACAAGTGTGTTCAGATGCTAAATGACAAGTGCAAGTGACAATTGTTGTCGTCTTCTCTGTGAACGTTTTTTTCTCCGTTATTTTGCCATTTTCAGATTTAAATTTCGAGCGGAAAGCTAACCAGGAAGTAATAATTACTTAAGCGGAGAACGGAGAAAGTAAACGTTACAGCAGGCATAACAACAGCCCGTGTTTATTTTATTATAATATATATCATTTGTTTTAAAGCTCAATATATAGTTTTATTATAATATATAGTCGTTATTCATTTGTTATAAAGCTATACTGTACACGGACATTTTAGTGAACCAGACCAGCTGTTTCCGCCGGGTCTTCACTTCCCGGGCATCACGTTGTTTACAAGTGTGTTCAGATGCTAAATAAAAGTTTAGCTTGTACTTTTGATACCCCGCCTCTCGGCACCACAACATCCAGTTTACTGTATTTCACATGAGCGATGTCGAACATTGAAAAGTCCTTATAAAATCTCTGTTATTAGATCAGTACTTTTCTTATATGACTATTATTGACTTGAACACTGAGAATGTATTTATTAACTTCAGACATTTGAAATATTTGAAATCAGATGAAAACAAACTGTAACGGACCCTGCCGTGTTATCTATGATTACTATGCCTTACTGTACATTCATAATTTCAGCCGGAGGTAGGTGGTAGGCGTTGCGGAGGAGCAGATTGCGAGTGAGGTGCCTGTTCTAAACGAACTATTCCAGCTGTTATAAAGCATTAAATAAAAAGTAAGCAAGGAATACAGAATGTTTCGTTACGTAACTTTGTTGAGAATGTGGCCATGTACATGTAATACATGGGATCATTTGCAGCGACTTGGTCATTGTGGGGAAAAATAACACCCATCCTGATCGTTTCAATGAAGTTGAATACAGAATATTCATATTTGTCAGTGATTTCATGTCAATTCGGCGAACATAACATCAATGATGATGATTAAATTAGGATTAAAAATCGGGAGAGCCGGCTCGTTCGTTTTTTTCCGACTAAACAACATCTATTATTTAGAAGTTGATTTCACATGACTTCCAGTGTGGAACCCCACTGCACCCCCTGGTGGATCAATGATCCATTGCAGCTGGCTTCACAATAATTAAATGTATTTATCATGGGGGCGGTATCAAGTCTGACTGGGGGCCGGCCGGCCATCACGGAACGTGCACAAACCGATCACGACCCTCGCATTTTAAACTGTCCAAAATAAGACGCTTCATCTGTATTTGGCCAAAGCGGGTTAGGCCCCACTGCCCCACTCCCCTCAATAGGGAAGTCACGCTTTGGGAAGAGGTGTTTAATTTCACAGATCTGACTTGGTTGCTGTTGTGATGGCTGTAGTAAGAGGGACGGGGGAGGAAAATTCATAGGGGGAAGAAGCAGAAAGATAACTTGTTTGTAAAACGGACAGCACGTCAGTTTCAGGAAAGATGACACCGGTTTTAGGCATGACATGCCAAATATCCTGAAGCCCTACAAAAAAAAGGTATATTGTGTTGAAAATATCGCAAAAAGTCGTAATATTGTATAATGTAATAGTTGCATGTTGTATTTTGATAAAAATCACTGTATATTCAAAAATATAATGGAGAGAAAAAAATATATATATATGTTATATATATGTATGTTGAAAAATATGAAAAAAGTAATGTTGTGTTAAATAATATGAAAGAAATCAAAAAGTAAAGCATCTAAAAAAAACATATATTTAAAAAAGTAATGTTAGTCAAGTCAAGTTATCAAAACTGCATTGTTTCATCGAAACAGTGTTAAAATCACAAACTCTCCATTTAGAGTTTGATTCTTGAAGAAAACTCAATTCATTACAAATGAATGAATATTTTACCAAGTTATATAGTTTTCCATACATAAACGTGTATCTTACAGTTCCTTTGTGAGAGAATTACGCACAAATTGCAGTATTTTATCTGTTTTATGTGCACTGTTGGAGGAGCCTGTGACCTATGTTTTTCATTGACATATCTACACTGTAGCTAATGGGCATATGCCATAAAGCCTTGAAACTTGAAACTTAAAATGATCAGAAACTGCATTGTCTCACTGAAAACAGCTCTAAAGAAAACCCAATTCCAATAAAAGTTTAGGTGACTTAGTGAATGAGAATTAACAGCTGATCGCAAGATCAGGAGGTGACAGGCAGGGGGGAGGGGAGGGGGTGGGAGGGGGTATGAGGGAGACAGTCTCACACACCCAGACTCCATTTTTCATGAAGAGCCTCAGACGGAGGGTCTGAACCCGGCACAGATACTGCACCCGTTTCTTGACTGGCCCCCTTTAGCGCAATACCGCATCAGTTGCGCCACTTATGTGACATACAAGAATAGTGTGTGACAGACAAAAGAGTATGTGACAGACAAGAATAGTCAATTATAATGTCTACACATAATGTGTAGCAAGAGATGTCCTGTATGGGTTGATTGCGCGTTGATCTGTTGGTAATGCCTCGGGGTTCCGGTGGGCATGTAAACAAAATGCATAATGCTGTACTATACTTTGTGGCCTCACCCCGTTGCATAGTGACGCTTATTGTTTAGGTGTCTTTTAATAAGCAGGTAGTCATATCATTAGCTAGAACTAGATAGATCTGATCGATATGGGTATAAACGCTAGTAAAGTCTAATCTAGTAAAGTCTAATCTGACGGGGGAGACCCGCTGTTGCTGACCCGTTTATTATTCCCGTGTTATTGTAAATTACTGTACACGTTTGAATAGTTAATTAATCTACTATGATTAGTTGGTTTAATATCGAATCATATCAATTTGTTTCAAAGCTCAAATGACTGGCTTTTATCTAGTTTTGCATAGATTTCTATTTTTATGACTGACTCCACCCCCTCACTATCTTCAGGGGTGGGGGGCGACAGGGAGGATGTGACGCCTACTGTAAGGGGAGAGGAGGGGGTGGGTTGAGAGGGGTGGGGGCTGAGAGGGGTGGGGGCTACAGGGCGGATGTAACACCTGTATGTGAGGGGGGAGGGGGGTGGGCTGAGAAGGGGTGGGGGCTAAGGGGGGGTGGGGGCTGAGAGGGGTGGGGGCTACCGGGAGGATGTAACACCTGTACGCGATAACACCTCGAACAAAGGGGCTCATTAGCATATCAAAGGGGGCTCATTAGCATAATTAGGGGGCGGGACTTAGAAGGTGTGACCTGTCACTTTTTTATGCATACTAATGTGATTGAAGCGGGATTGGTAACACTACTAATATGAAATCATGTAAAAGATGATTCAGGACTTTTTCATTTGAATTTTTCTTGATATTACAAACATTGATCCCTATCAATAGTTATATACATATAACAACAAGTATTGATACTGACTATTATCACAGTAGTTAACAGCCCTCACATAAATAGTGTAAACATTAAAACACATAAAACCTACAGGTGCTTTAAACACAGAGGAATAATCTCCATGTGTCAACACAGGGAGGAGTGAAGTGATTTTGAATATCAGACCTGTGAGGTAGAGAGCGATGTCGTAAACATCCAGACTCACCTGGGATGGTTCTGACAGTTAAGATAGGATCTGAAAGGCAAAAAACAAACAGAAGTGTTTTACAATTCTTGGATGACATTATCAGCTGTCCTCAGAAACGTGTTATACAACAAATATATGTACTATCGTAATCTTAAAAAGAAGCACCAGTCTCAGATTTAGCTTGTTTCAATTCAATCTTTATTTCAGACTCAAGGTCCATATCACCTACAAAATGACAAAATACACAACAATAAATAAGATTAAACAAAAAAACAGATACAAAACATAAAACCAGTCCAATGACAGCTAGCCACACATGCTCACTGTCTGTAGAGGCTGTTGCGCCAATGTCTCCAAGTCATGGAAGAGAACCGAGTAGAACTCTTCACAGGGTTAATTAAAATCGAGATAACATGATTGTCAGAGTCTTCTAGGCGACACATGAATTTGTACATTAACTTCCTTAAAAGGGCTTGACAGGTAGGTACCCCCAAGTTAACAAACAGCTGTCTGGCACTGTGCCATCTTGGTACCCTCACCAGCAACCGTAAAGCATCATTGTATGCAACTTTTAGTTTTTGCATGCTGCTAGCCTTGTAGTTACTCCACAGGTGAGCCGTGTACACTGCTGTACAGAAAGCTTTAAAAAGTGATACCTTGACATCTACAGAGCACTTGTGAAATGTCCGCATTAATATGTTTGCCTGGGCATACAGTTTGCAGCGTTGTCTATGGATGTCTTTGTCGTCTGAGATCATCAGAGATATAATGACCAAGGTACTTCATCTCACTGCACACAAGAAGAATGTTGCTACTGAGAATACAATTAGGAAATACAGCCTTTTTATCCTCTTTACTTCGCACAATCATGATGCTACTCTTCTTGGCGTTATACTTAAAGGGCTGGAGACGCTGTAGTACATATGTCAGGCCTGTATGTGGTGCTGTTCTCACAGAATCAACCCTTGCAAAAACAGCTATAAATTGTCAAATTGAGCGAAATGAGGCATGGCTAAAATGCATGATCTGTTTGGTATTTTGAAAAAAAAAAAGTATAAATATGCCTTATATAGGTATGGTCCTACACTATATTATTCAACTATAGCATGATAGGTCCACTTTAATATTACAATCAATGCCATACTGGGATCCTCAGACGCTGCTGTAAGCCTGCACTGCACGGGGAAAAGATGATTAAATCATCTGCGTACATAAGGTGGTTGACAACAGTATCACCGATGACACAGCCAGTTTTACACTTTTTGTTTGTGTCAGTCCTTACAGACAGAGTGTCTGCTGGACAGTAACATGAGAACATTATGGCTGATGTTCATCCAACAGTGTGTCTGTTTATTTGAAGACAGAGCAGATGAACATTGTCTCACAGGAGAATGAATGCTGCAGATTTAATGCACATGAGACTTGTGTATATCTATATATAAGAAGGCTTATTTGCTGTCTTATGAGAATACTCACCAACAACGAGCTCAATGCAGAATTTTTCATCAGGCTGTAGCTTTGGAAAATAGCAGGTGTAACTTCCACTGTCGATCACCTTCGTCTTCCTGATGAAGATGGAGGCGTTTCCGTGCTTCAGTTCATTTTGAAAATATGAGACTCGTCCTTTAAACTGCTCACTCTGACCTGAATGACGTTCATAATGAACAGCAGAATCGTACATGAAGACTTCGTGCAGAGTTTCTCCTCCCTGACCGACCTTCTTCCAGTCAAACAGTTTATTTTGGAGGTTTTCTCTGGTGCTGGGGGAGCAGGGTAAAATAACATCTGTCCCTTCTGTGGAGATCACTTTGCTGTCAGCTGGAAGATAGAAACATGTGTTACTCAGTGTGTTCACCTGCAGAGGCTGAACACACACACACACACACACACACACACACACACACACACACACACACACACACACACACACACACACACACACACACACACACACACACACACACACACACACACACACACACACACACACACACACACACGTCATTTGATAAAAAGTCAGTTTTATTCATTTTAGATCTGGATTAAATGGATTGGATGTGAATATATCTGAACAAAATTTAAAATGTCATTTTTCTTTATAGCAATACATTCTGATGTCATATCTATTATTTCTTTGCTCTCTCTCTCTAATTTTACCAGAAATGTTATTACATTGAATCCTAGTGGAGGACAAGAACACTGAATCTCAGCTGAATACTTTATTTATTTTATAAAGATCCATACATGTTTTTGTGTAAAGACATCCCTTAATGGTGTTTTTATGAGAGCACTAGCAATAAAAGGCCTATTACAATAAGATGATGATTATGGCTTAGACTGATAAGAAGAGACCTTTAGATATCTTATTTATTATATTGATCAGGTTATAACCATGTTGCAATGGGCGCTCCTTTTCTTCATAGGCTTTCTACTGATGATGCATTACTTTAGATATTGTTCTACATTTCCCTATGACCAATAAAAAGCACACTAATAATATTCTGTTTCCAGACTTCTGCATGTTTTTTTTAGCCTTTTAGATGTAATTAAATTACCAAAATGACGTAATGTTGTGTGAATAAGAGTGTAAGTGTTCTCACCGTTTGTGCAGGCAGACGAGTTTCCAGTCAGGAGACTGAAGAGAAGAAGAAGAGGAAGAAGAGGAAGAAGAGGAAGAAGAGGAAGCTGCTTCATCATGCTGGAGGGTTAAACTGCACACACTCCTCACACACTCCTCACACACACTCCAGCCCATCCCAATCACTTCCCATAATCTCTCACTTAAAATAGAAAGTCTTCTAGAGGTTTCTGCATCACTTCCTGCTTCAAGTCCTTCAGAATAAAATCCTATCCTCATTTTATTTGGTGAATTCTGCAAAATGTATCAGACTGACTAACAACATACAAAAAGTACTGCAACACTAACACTGAATATGTTCATTATATAAAACACTACAATTCAACCACATATTCTCTGCATTGTTTCACCTGTACTCACCTGCAGCTTACTTTGTTAGCAGCAGCACTTCCGGTGCATTTCTCCACAATAAAAGCAGATTTAGTTTAGCACAGAATAGATTAAGAAGTTATTTTGTGATTTGGATCTTTATTATTTCACTGCATTGGTTACATTCCCAGTAACTTGGTAATGAGGGTACAATTCTCCCAGCATGCACTGCTCACAGATTTTAAGATGAAGTTCCCAAGAAGAAGTCTTCCTCCTAATTTTTTTTCAAGAGTGTAAACAATGAACTACATTTTGAAAGAGTGCGCAACACACACACACACACACACACACACACACACACACACACACACACACAACACACACACACACACACACACACACACACACACACACACACACACACACACACACACACACACACACCACACACACACACACACACACACACACACACACACACACACACACACACACACACACACTGCAGTAATGATGCCAAATGGCTACCAGCCAACAGCACTACGAACATCTCCAAAATCAACACAGACTTGAACTGTTTATTTACAAAGAATGTGTTCAACAGTGACTTTGTTTAAATCCTGTCATACCACTTATTATGGAGGAAGTGAAAGTTAGATTAAGTAAATAAGGAAGATTCAAACGGGTTCTTACTCCTTCCTTACGGTGACTTCAGCCTGTTGAATAAGAACAGAGTAACAGAGGAGCAGCCATCCAGCAATCTACTGCTGATAACATAAAGAAACATGTACACTACATTTAGAAAGTGTACTGATGTTAATGTGAAATCAGGATTAAACCATGTACTAATATATCTTAAAATATTGTAAAACAAATATTTAGTATGTGAAGTCATGTGAGGGGAAAACCTGAATTAGAAAAATGAATGCTTGATAAATAATGTCCCTTTTTTATTTAATTTGGACTTTTCTTTAATTTAAGTAATTTAGTGGGAATGCTGATAGAGCATTCCAACTATATGTTATGCTACGGACAAAAAGTTTATTATTATTATTCCGTCCAATTATTTTGTCCGTCTTCTCCTCCCACATTCAACATCGCAGAAACTCCGTTCAAACATCAAAACGTTCAGCTCGGTCGGGAATCGGGCGCTATTACTTTTATCATTCATAACTTTCATAATTCCAGAGATACATCCCATAATACATCACATTTTTTACCATTGAAGTCAATGGAGAAATTCTTCAGACTTCAACAAATCTTCATGCGACTTCAACTGCTAACTGTTCATTCATACTTTCACTCAGAAACCTCATTCCAACTTTAAAATGTTACACATCTTTCTGACATTATTCGTGTAACACAACTTTTAAATCTGATTCTTACTTTTAGAGATATTAAACATTGTTCAGACCTTGTTAAAGAGGTTTTCTTCAGATTTTAACATTAACTAGAGTGCGTGATGTCACAGCTAGAGGGTAAGAAATCTTGAAATGTGCCTTCATATTCTTTTTTAAAACTGCCATAATTCCCAAACCCTACATTCCTGAGACATCATTTTTCATGACAAACGTAAGAAAACATCTCGTAGCTTGAAAAATGACAAATAATTAAGCAAACATAATTAAACAAAATGCCTCTTGAGGGCATGAAGTGACACAAACGTTCAACATGTCTCCATTAAAGCCCATTGTAATTTCAGGCTGATATTTCCTCACAGCAGCAGCCGCACACCTTTCTTAAACTGCCAAAAAGGCCACATTATTAACCCGAAAGTACACAAAAATTACACTTCAGATACTCAACTTCCTTGACATGCTTCACGTTTTGAAATTTCACAGATATCTGTTATCGTTCTTCCACAAAACGTTCACATGTAAGAGGTTCATCTCTCATTCAGAACAATGAAGCCTTTGATCTCTTCATAGCTCGTTAGCTCAACTATCAACACCTGTGTTTGAACACGATGTCATCACTCCAACTGACAGCAGTCAGTTCTAACTGTTCATTTTTCTCTCTCTCTCTCTCTCTCTCTCTCTCTCCTCTCTCTCTCTCCTCTCTCTCCTCTCTCTCTCTCTCTCTCTCTCTCTCTCTCCTCTCCCTCTCCTCTCTCTCTCTCTCCAAAAAGTGCTCAAAATTCACATGTGTGCTAACAGTCCAGCCGCTGTAAGTCCAATGGACACGGTCCGATCGTCCCCCAATCTTCACTTGTATATCACCGGTCCATGCCTCAACAGCTCTACGCCAAATCTGAGATCTCACCATATGCCGTTTCCATGGAAACGCATCCCTCGCCATAAAAGACGATGTCGCTATAACTCCTATGAAAATGTTCAAAAAGTGCTCAAACTTCACATGTGTGCTAACAGTCCAGCCGTGAAGACATCTACGGGACAGTTTTGAGATTTCTTCAAATGCCGTTGGCATGGCGACAGATCATTCACCATCAAGTTAGTTCAAAGGTTTGCAGTTCAAATATTCTGCTGCTTTTCCAAGCCTTTTTACTCTCTTTTCTTCTCTCATCACACATTCAAGCCCCCAGTGTTCATGTTCCAGGGAACTCACCAAGTGTCAGAAAACACAACCCTCTCTATTTTCCTCCATACCCAAATCTCTAAAAAAGGGGCTGCAACGGATCTGATAAAAACTGATCCAGATTTGAACACTTCTATGACGTCACAGAAGTGGCGCTACGGCTATTGGGCCAACTCTCCACCTATCAGGGGAATGTGGGGTTGGGCCACGGCCGGCCATTGCCGCTCGAAAGCGCTTTTTTCTCCCTCCCCGAGGCAAGCAATGGCTGGCCGTGGCCCAACCCCACATTCCCCTGATAGGTGGAGAGTTGGCCCAATAGCCGTAGCGCCACCGTCCTGACGCCAGGAAAGTGTTCAAATCTGGATCAGTTTTTATCAGATCCGTTGCAGCCCCTTTTTTAGAGATTTGGGTATGGAGGAAAATAGAGAGGGTTGTGTTTTCTGACACTTGGTGAGTTCCCTGGAACACCGGGGACACATATTCATGTATAAAAGACGTACAAAAGTGCATTTTGCATGATAGGTCCCCTTTAAGTTTCCTGTCATCTCTCTACCAACTTATTTAAGAAAGTCGTAAAATGCTCACAAATGATAATTAAAACGAGTATACAAAGGTTTCATTAAAGTGCATCTATGAAACCCATGTGAAAATATATAATTAAATATCAGTCCCAACACACAGATTGACTTGTTTCATGTTTTATTAAAACATTTGGATATAAACGGTACAGTTTAAATGACAGCATAGAAACCCTGCAGAGCATCAGAGAACATCATAAAGGAGCTTTTAGATAAAAACAGTTCAAGCATCACAGTAACAGCAGGTCATCATTCAGCTGATATACTTTGGATTAGCACTTTAAAGTGGACCTATCATGCTATATTTGAATAATATAGTGTAGGACCATACCTATATAAGGCATATTTATACTTTTTTTTCCTTCAAAATACCAAACAGATCATGCATTTTAGCCATGCCTCATTTTGCTCAATTTGACCATTTCTAGCTCTGGGCAGATTCAGTGAGAACAGCACCATCTACTGGCCTGGCATATGTACTACAGAGTCTCCAGCGCTTTCGAACGGCAATGGCCGTGGCTGTCTCCTCCTGATTGGTGGAGTTGGCCCAATAGCCGTAGCGTCAGGACAGTGTTCAAATCTGGATCAGTCTGTATCAGATCCGTTGCAGCCCCTTTTTTAGAGATTTGGGTATGGAGGAAAATAGAGAGGGTTGTGTTTTCTGACACTTGGTGAGTTCCCTGGAACACCGGGGACACATATTCATGTAGAAAAGACGTACAAAAGTGCATTTTGCATGATAGGTCCCCTTTAAGTATAAAGTCTTAGGGGAAACCACAGTAGCTTCTCCTTGTAATAAAACAATGTTAATTTTAAAGGAATTCCCAAAATATAGTCAGGGATTGAGATTCCACATTTCTCCTGATTCAGTGTTTACCTCAGAGGAACCTTTAGGTCGTTTATTAACTCATTGCTTGGTTCCAGAACTTGTGATTAGACACCGACTCTTAATACACTAACGTTTTACACACATATAGGGTATTTAAAAGCACGAGCAGCACCCGTTGTGTAATCAGAGTTTTTTAGTCAGTGATACATTCAGTGGGTTACTTTATGAGGTTCACCTGTACAACATGAAGTTTAATTTATGATGCCTATAGAGTTTTTATTTGTATGTAAATAAGGGACTCAGTGGCATGCAGTCTGTAATTTGTAGTATTGAATATGATCAGAATGAAAAACATGTCAGTACATTTTAGATATTAGTGATGTTCAGGAAAAGAGCATCCTCAGGAGGCAGAAAGAAGAGGTTTTTAGGAGTAAAAGTGCTAAGCTCCACTTCTCAGTGACCAATCGATCTGAAACACTGGAGCAACAAGCATGAAGCTAACCATCAGAGTGACTTCACAAATACTGTATTAGTGTATTATCAGAGTTAATGTACATGCTCCTAAAAGTGAATTCATTTTTCCTTTGTGTTTAGTATGAACACACATTAAATATATATTTTTTAAAACACACGAGCAATTAAAATGATATCTCACCATTTAGAGGCACGTAGATGTGTGCAGGTTTACTCTGATGCTTGATCTCCTCCTGTGAAGCTACACAGCTGTAGTTGTCTGTTTTGGTGACAGTAGTTTGGAGGATCACGTCGTAGCTGCCTCCTCTCTCTGAGACCTGAGGCTCTGCAGCAGGGACCATGTTTCCAGAACTGTCCGTCCACTCGACTTTAGGTTTTGGAAAAGATCCTCGGACCAAACACTGAAGCAGAGACCAGCCCTTTGTTTCCTCAAGAATTGTAACGTAGGGTTCTGGAGATGCACCTGCGAACACAGCATAAACCATAACTTGTAAAGAGCAATTAGAGGTTTAGAAATACTAACATTATTCATGTTCATCCCCTCTCTGATGGTGTATACGTGTATTTAAGATGGCTAAGATAGACATGTGTCACAACACACATAAACCACTGAGCTTTGTTTAGAATAGGCTGAACATATTTCAAACTATTGTAATTTTAACATTTAGTACCTTATCATCAGTAAAATAACTTTCTGTGACTTGTATGATGACACTGAAGACTTTTAGATAACCACTATTGTTTGCTTCGTTTTTGAGTGACCTGTCTTTGAGACCCATGACATTATTAATGTATCTTTCTTAAATTACAAACATTGATCCCTAACAATAATTATACATATAGAAAGTATTGAGGCTGATTTAAATACAATTACTACAACAATATTATGACAGTAGTAAGCCCTCACTTAAATAGTGTACCCTAAACCTAAACTAAACCTACAGGAATATACAGGTAACATAAACCCGGAGCAATAATCTCCATTTGTCAACACAGCGAGGAGTAAAGTGTTTTTGAATATCAGACCTGAGAGGTAGAGAGCGATGTCGTAAAAATCCACTCACCTGGGATGGTTCTGACAGTTAAGATAGGATCTGAAAGGCAAAAAAACAGGAGTGTGTTACATTCTTGTGTGATATTATCAGCTGTCCTCAGAAACGTGTTATACAACAAATATGTCCTATCTTATTCTTGAAAAGAAGCACCATCTCAGATTTAGCTTGTTTGTGTAAGTCCTTACAGACATAGTGTCTGCTGGACAGTAACATGAGAACATGTTTCACTAATATGGCTGATGGTTATCCAACAGTGTGTCTGTTTATTTGAAGACAGAGCAGATGAACATTGTCACACAGGAGAATGAATGCTGCAGGTGAGACTTGAACATGAGACTTGTTTATTTCTGTATATAAGAAGGCTTATTTGCTGTCTTATGAGAATACTCACCAACAACGAGCTCAATGCAGAATAATTCACGAGGCTGTAGACGTGGAAAAATGCAGGTGTAACTTCCACTGTCGATCACCTTCGTCTTCCTGATGAAGATGGAGGCGTTTCCGTGATTCAGTTCATCTTGAAAATGTGAGACTCGTCCTTTAAACTGCTCACTCTGACCTGAATGACGGTCATAATAAACAGCAGAATCGTACATGAAGACTTCGTGCAGAGTTTCTCCTCCCTGACCGACCTTCTTCCAGTCAAACTGTTTCTTTAGGAGGTTTTCTCTGGTGCTGGGGGAGCAGGGTAAAATAACATCTGTCCCTTCTGTGGAGATCACTTTGCTGTCAGCTGGAAGATAGAAACATGTGTTACTCAGGGTGTTCACCTGCAGACAGACACACACACACACACACACACACACACACACACACACACACACACACACACACACACACACACACACACACACACACACACACACACACACACACACACACACACACACACACACACACACACACACACACACACACCAGTTTATGAGCAGTTTGATAAAAACTCAGAGTTGTATTCTTTTTAGTTCTGGATGAAATTCATTGGATTCAAAAACACTACAATACAAATATCCGGCAACACTGCTTTTTGTTAGATTGCCATCCAAATATGTCTGTGGACTTTTAAATAAAACAATAAGAAGATATGATATACAACATTTACACTTTGATATGTCATTAGCAGCCTTTAGCTTAGCAGAGATGACTTTTGGTAAAATCAGAGCAGTTTAAAAACATTTCAGATTTTTTTTTTCGAAGCCTCTCGTTAACACTTTAAAGAAATATGAACCTTACGTGACATACACATGTGAACATATTGAACACAATGGATGAATGCAAGGTTCAACATTGATCCCAATAGTTTTATATTTTTTAATGAACACTTCTTTTTCATTTGTCTTCATAGCAATACTTTCTGATGTCATATCTATGATTTCTTTGCTCTCTCTCTCTCATTTTACCAGAAATGATATTACATTGAATCCTATTGGAGGACAAGAACACTGAATCTCAGCTGAATACTTTATTTATTTGATAAAGATCCATAGATGTTTTTGTGTAAAGACATCTCTTAATGGTGTTTTTATGAGAGCACTAGCAATATAAAGGCCTATTACAATAAGATGATGATTATGGCTTAGACTGATAAGAAGCGCTCCATTTCTTCATAGGCTTTCTTCTGATGATGCATTACTTTAGATATTGTTCTACATTTCCCTATGACCAATAAAAAGCACACTAATAATATTCTGTTTCCAGACTTCTGCATGTTTTTTTCAGCCTTTTAGATTTAATTAAATTACCAAAATGACGTAATGTTGTGTGAATAAGAGTGTAAGTGTTCTCACCGTTTGTGCAGGCAGACGAGTTTCCAGTCAGGAGACTGAAGAGAAGAAGAAGAGGAAGAAGAGGAAGAAGAGGAAGAAGAGGAAGCTGCTTCATCATGCTGGAGGGTTAAACTGCACACACTCCTCACACACTCCTCACACACACTCCAGCCCATCCCAATCACTTCCCATAATCTCTCACATGCGCAAAATAGAAAGTCTTCTAGAGGTTTCTGCATCACTTCCTGCTTCGAGTCCTTCAGAATAAAAGCCCCGTCCTCATTTTATTTGGTGAATTCTGCAAAACAACAGACTGACTGACAACATACAAAAAGCACTGTAACACTAACACTGAATATGTGTATTATATACAAAACTACAATTCAACCACACATTCACTGCTGTAGAGCCGATGAATGGGAGTTGGAGGCGGCGTGTTGAGTATGGAACTCCACACTTTATTTTCCATTAGGTTTACAGAAGGGAAGAATAACTTGCATACATGCTACTCAAGCTAGAATGATAACAACCACCAGGTACACTCTCTAACCGGTCCGTGGTGCAAGACACACTATATACCACAGTGAATTATGTCCCGTAATGTTCCACCACACAAGCCCCCCCAGAATTCACCCATACACAAAGTCTGTATGGCGGGGAGGAACGACAGGCCGACCACCACGACTCGGGAGAACGGGAGCCGGGGAGGCGACCTCTGCAGGGGCGGCCGCTGGGAGAGGTGGGACTGGAACCGCAGGCCCCAATTCGGTGACAGGGGTCAAGGCCGGGGGGCGGCCCCATCGCGGAGGCCCCGTCGCGGAGGCCTTGCCAGCACCACCGGCTGGTCCAAATCCAGGTGAGCAGCCTTAACGCGGTCCACCGAGACGTGCTCGGCCTTGCCACCCAGGTCGACCACCAAGTGCTTGCCCCAGTGTTCCAAGACCCGGAAAGGCCCGTCGTAAGGGGGCTGCAGGGGCCCTCTGTGAGCGTCACACACACACACACACACACACACACACACACACACACACACACACACACACACACACACACACACACACACACACACACACACACACTGAAGTAAAAAGATATGATTCTACATTGTATTTTAGTGAACATGTATTGTTTGAACTGTTTTAAGTAATCACATATATAGAAATGATATTCTCACTTACAACTCACTGACCCAGAGATCCTGTTTCACACACACCTCCATTTCACCAGCGCACATACATGTTCTTTTTCAAGGTCCTTATGGACATCATTATATTTGTGCACAAAGGTTTAATTGTATGAGAAAGAATAGTTTATGTGAAAAACTCCCATGGGAAAGTAAGGGAGTGAATATCGGGGCAGAGATAAGATTGACTTTGACCTTGTGAAACTTTAGAATCTCACGTTCTGGTCAGAACTCTGATTCGCTGTATTGAACCCGACCAGAAGTGAATCCAACCAGTAAAAACACCTGGGGGATGTGAGCAGCTCACACAGCTCCTCCTCACTGACTCTCTAATTCGCTTTGGAGTAAAAGGGGAAGGGAAAAGTGAACACATCTCCGCCCCAAAATATGATTATGAATACTGTTGTTTTTGAATGTAAAATGCTTTCTTGTTTGGTGAGTTGGCAGGTCCCGATATCTGTGTCCGCATCGCATCACAAACCTGAAGTCAATTTCTTCTTGTTTGATGAGTTGGCGGGTCCCGACACCTTTATCCGCATCGCATCACAAACCTGAAGTCCGGAGTACTCTGTATAACTTGTATATGTGTTTGGTTTCCTACCAGAGTAAACTCAGATAATTGTTATAACTTTTGATTCCGGTGTTTTCAATTCCTTTCTTTATTTAATAGAGATTCAGCCTCATCCAACGAACGGCGCGTAGCAGAGGGGGTGGCTATCAGCCACCACAATAGGTGTTCTGCTCCAACAACACACACACACACACACACACACACACACACACACACACACACACACACACACACACACACACACACACACACACACACACACACACACACACACACACACACACACACACACACACTGCAGTAATGATGCCAAATGGCTACCAGCCAACAGCACTACGAACATCTCCAAAATCAACACAGACTTGAACTGTTTATTTACAAAGAATGTGTTCAACAGTGACTTTGTTTAAATCCTGTCATACCACTTATTATGGAGGAAGTGAAAGTTAGATTAAGTAAATAAGGAAGATTAAAACTGGTTCTTACTCCTTCCTTACGGTGACTTCAGCCTGTGGAATAAGAACAGAGTAACAGAGGAGCAGCCATCCAGAAATCTACCGCTGATAACATAAAGAAACATGTACACTACATTTAGAAAGTGTACTGATGTTAATGTGAAATCAGGATAAAACCATGTTTAGAAAAATTAATGCCTGATAAATAATGTCAATTTAGTTTTAGTAATTCTCAATGATATCTCCATTAATGTATTGTCTTTATCTACTTTCACTGAGTCTATATATTCATCATCTTTTTTTATAACTGCATTAATTATTTGATTAAATGTGTTTCTGTGAGCTCTTGTATTTTAAGTGCAGATGTGTGTTTCACCTCTCTTAAGTTTTCTGTCACTCTCTACCAACTTATTTAATAAAGTCGTAAAATATGGGCTCAGAACAGTCTCATAATACACACATGCACACAGAAGGATTCACACTTGTATTTCCGGATCCACACTTGTGTTTGTCAATGCACACACAAATGTGTTCCGTTTCATATTCATGTAAATAAAATCCAAATACAGAAAAAAGTTTTACATATGTATTTTTCATCCTCACATATTTGTTTTCCGTTTAAAACCGCTGCACCTGCAAACACAAACCGCTTTCTGTGCATGGATCGCTCTGCATTCGTGTGTGGGTTTTTTGAGACTCCCCTGACGGTGACCCGATTCGTACTTGTAATTTTTTCTATCTATAGCCAATCAGATGTTTCCTCAATTCTAAGCCAATCACATGAGCGCGCCCCCACAAGGGTAGATTTCTTGCGTTCATGACGTAGCGCTTCATGTACGCATTTTGCGCTGTCCGGAGCCTGCCTGCAGGCGCTAATCTCAGGACACTTCCACTCTCAGTACATTGCCACTTTCCGAGCAGGAAATGCACGCAAATACAAGCATTTATATTATTAAGGTACAGTGCCACTTTCCGAACCATTAATGAATGCTTGTGTACACAAAAACGGCAGGCAAAACCGTTTTAAATGTGTGTGTTTCCTGTATGGCGAATACAGCTGCTTTATTTATGTCTGTATGAAGTTGTTGTGAGTGTGGAGGGAGCAGCTACAGGTTAGCTTAGCCTAATCGATCAGTGCACTACGAAGCCAGTGCTAGACAGTGAACTGTCAACGGGGGGAGCCCCGCCGGTCATTATCGGCCGATATTCACTCTTAATAGTTTGATCGGTGCTCTCTATAAAGGCCGATAAGGAGAGCTGGATCTGATCGATATGGACATAAACGCGAGTGAAGTTTTAGCGAGCTGCATGAGAAACTGACGGGCTGTCAGGAGAGAGGGAGGGAGAGAGGAAAAGAGATGATCCTTACTCCCGTGTTATTAGCCATATCCGGTCATAGTCCGGTAATTACCTGCTATCGGAAACTCTGCTACACAATTCTTCTTCTAGTTATTATTATTATTGAAACATGACCGGTAAGTTTCAAATTTGTCCGGTAAAATTAATTCTGTCCGCGGAAACCCTGCTCCGGACAGCGCAAAATGCATATATGAAGTGTCATGAACGCAAAAAATCATACCCTCGTGGGGACGCGCTCATGTGATTGGCTTAGAATTGAGGAGACATCTGATTGGCTATAGATAGAAAAAATTACAAGTACGAATCGGGTCACCGTCAGGGGAGTCTCAAAAAACCCACACACGAATGCACAGCGATCCATGCACAGAAAGCGGTTTGTGTTTGCAGGTTCAGGGGATTTAAACGGAAAACAAATATGTGAGGATCAAAAATACATATGTAAAACTTTTTTCTGTATTTGGATTTTATTTACATGTATATGAAACGGAACACATTTGTGTGTGCATTGACAAACACAAGTGTGGATCCGGAAATACAAGTGTGAATCCTTCTGTGTGCATATGTGTATTATGAGACTGTTCTGAGCCCATAGTAAAATGCTCACACATGATAATTCAAACGAGTATAAAAACTTTCATTAAAGTGCATCTATGAAACACATGTGAAAATATATAATTAAATATCAGTCCAAACACACAGATTGACTTGTTTCATGTTTTATTCAAACATTTGGATATAAATGGTACAGTTTTAATGACAGCATAGAAACCCTGCAGAGCATCAGAGAACATCATAAAGGAGCTTCTAGATAAAAACAGTTCAAGCCTCACAGTAACAGCAGGTCATCATTCAGCTGATATACTTTGGATTAGCACTTTAACAACATCACAAACAACAAGCTCGTAACAAACAATGTCAATAAAAATATATAAAAGAAGTCACATTATATTCCAGCTCCAGAGTACATTTCTTTACAGCAGCTTCAGATCAGAGAGAGTTTCTGTGAATGCCGTCTCTACATCCTTTAAGAACTACAAGCAGCAGGAGAGCATCTGTTAAAGGACTACAACTATGGAGCTGTTAAAGGACTACAACTATGGAGCTGTTAAAGGACTACAGCTATGGAGCTGTCAAAGGACTACAACTATGGAGCTGTTAGAGGACTACAACTATGGAGCTGTCAAAGGACTACAACTATGGAGCTGTTAGAGGACTACAACTATGGAGCTGCTAAAGGACTACAGCTATGGAGCTGTTAGAGGACTACAACTATGGAGCTGTCAAAGGACTACAACTATGGAGCTGTTAAAGGACTACAACTATGGAGCTGTTAGAGGACTACAACTATGGAGCTGCTAAAGGACTACAAGTATGGAGCTGTTATAGGACTACAACTATGGAGCTGTTATAGGACTACAGCTATGGAGCTGTTAAAGGACTACAAGTATGGAGCTGTCAAAGGACTACAACTATGGAGCTGCTAAAGGACTACAAGTATGGAGCTGTTATAGGACTACAACTATGGAGCTGTTATAGGACTACAGCTATGGAGCTGTTAGAGGACTACAACTATGGAGCTGTTATAGGACTACAACT